TCGGTAGTTTACCCACGATGTATCTCGCGATAGCTCCACAACACAGCAACTCACCCGTGCATGTCCGGGCTCGATTGGTGTCTTGTGGGCGGAGATACAGACGGGGGGGGTATTTAGGCACTATTCCCCCCCTGGGGGGCAGGTTGGGGCAACGGATATATTTTGCCCATCGGCCATGGCTGCACCAAACCTGCACCGTTTCCGCTGTACGAGGTATCTCGCGATAGCTCCACATCACAGCAACACAGCCGTGCATGTCCTGGCTCGATTGGTGCCTTGTGGGCGAAGATACAGACGGGGAGGTGTTCAGGCACTAATCCCCCCCTGGGGGGGGATTTAGACACGCCGTTGCGAAAAATACGACCAGCCAGTCAGATCCTACCGTGCGGCCTGATCATTCATCCTCGGGACGGCCTTCTTTCGCCAAACAGCAATGCCGGACACCTCAGTAGGAAGGAGTGATGATGTAGCCAAAGACGCCCCCCGACTTGCGGAACGTCCTCCCACCCACGCCAAACGTGGTCCATCGTGAGAACACTGCCATAAGCTTTTGGAATGCGCCGCGAGCTGGGGGGAGGTGTACTGGCAGTGTCGGGGGAGCGGGGGGGGGGGTTAGTTGCTTTCTCCAGCCGTTACTAACCCTTCGCTTCCCAGCAGCTGAAGACCGATCCAACGGAGGAACCAGGAACCTTTCACCGTTCAAGGCCGACGACTCTTCCCGGGCTTTCCTCTTCGCTGGCTGTAGGTCTAGCGCCTCTCTCTGTGGTTCAACCGGGGAGAACGTGGGACTCGAAGCAACGGGAGAGATCACAAGATTCAAGACCGACGTCCAGTCTACCCCAACATCGGCATCCTCCCTCCATTAGGCTGATATCCCCCCTCGGTATAACCGTAACCTTGGGGGCAATGAATATTGCCACCGCGTGCGGGAGCCGTGACTGCTGCCTCTTCACATATTTAGCATCGTTGCGAATCCGCGATATGGTGCTGGGGGCGTTTAGCGGCGCCGATCCCGGCGCGGGATGAATGTGATGAAGTAATCCAGACTTATGTACAGTCTAGATATGGAGGGCGTAGGTCGGGCCGTTAGAACGCCACGGAGTCTCCCCGGCCACGGATATGTATGTAGATGGGGGGAGGTGCAGTGTCTCTGCCATTCTCAATGGCCGGGCCCCGACCCCCCTTCGAGCCATCACGAGTTTAGTCAATGCGGCCAATGGAAGTGACAGAGAACTGAGGCCTGAGTGCTATTGATTGCTGAGCTGGTACCGCGGTGAGCTAGTAGTAGAGTATGAGTGGTAACGTTGTAGTACTCGCAGCCTTTGCTAAAGAAGCTACATCCTGGCTAGTGAAATACTATTTTGTCAGGACGTTGAAGGTGAGAGGAACCAGAGTTACCAAGGTTTATCTCGCTGTCAAATGAGAGCTCTGCAGGAGCAACCCGATCTTAATCCATGATAAACTCCAATACAACAGGACAAAGGAGGATATTCCCACTCCTTTCTCGGACAAAAGTGTGGGTACTCGAAATTTGGTGCTTCACGGAGACACTGGTGACATTTTCATTCCGATGCCTGGAGAACACGGGCAAGGCCCACGAACATCAATTATTGTTACGAAGTTTTAGGCACGTCCTCACGCCACACACCGCCGCGGTGGACAAGCCTCAAAAGGTTTTGCCCGATTTTGTCCGAAATTCCAGTGAGTATTCTCGCCCAAATCTACCTTCAATTCATGTGCGTACCCACGACGTCTGTTTCGTGACCCGCTCTTGTCCCAATGTACCCATTAACGTCCATTTGGCTTCATGCCGTACGGGATGCGACCTGGATCACCCCTCTTGTCGCAAATCTTGCCTGGAGTTTTGGTTGAACGTTGCGCTCGGTTTGGAAGGTCGAAGACAACACCATCAAACAAAAGGCCAGAACAAAGAAAAAAAAGATGCGTCGACTCGTTGATGCGGCTATCTTGTAGGCGACACAGCACGACGTCCGTTCAGTCACGGTATTGGTTCGAGGATCGCAAAGGTCCCTCTGATTTGCCATTTTGGTAGCGTTGTAATGTTTGCAACAAACACTACCACGAAGAACGCGGATGTCTTGGAGTTCAGAGTAGTGAGAGCGTGAGTGAGTGAGTGAGTTGGTGAGTGAGTGAGTGAGCAAACCCAAGTTTGTCCCGCCCACAACGGAAGCCAGCCCGGGTTTAGCGAGGAAACTCTTCCCGTCGTTCCCTAGCCCTTGACAAGAGGGTCACAAAGCACGTTCCCAGGCACATGTAGGACACCTGTGGGTGGCCATCAAGTCTGGTCGCCGAACTAAAAACAAAGCATGTACATTCTCCCGCAATTTCCCCGCCGAACACCTCGCTCGAGCGGCCTTTCCGTGTACTGTCGTTTCTGTCGCTAGAAACACGCGCTGCTATGCACCACCGTGATCACCAGTCACTCCATGTCTTGCTCGGCTCGAGCCATTGGCATGCTCGCCCGACCCTTGGTCGTTGCTGCTCTCCCCAAAAAACACACACCCCTCCCTACCTGACCGACTTCTGTTGTTACTATCTCTCTTCTCCCCCCCCCAACCCCCCGCGTAGTTCGTTCACTTGTCATATCAGAACCGTGCCGGTCATACATCAAGCCAACACCCACGTTTTCTATCCAAAACTGACGACGCTGACCTGGGGTGAGGAACAACTACGCAGAACGTTTCGAGAGAAAATTCGACAACAAGTGACGTGTGCGAGCGAGTCTCGACACCTCCTCTGACACTATCCGACAACAAATAATTGAAACATAAGGTGAATGCCGGAAATGGGGAGGGCCCAACTATCGTAGAGGAGCAGGGTTGCTGGGACGAACTTTTCTTGGTTCTGGGCCTTGCTCTAGTTGAGTGGCCGGGGGGGGGTCACCTCCCCGCTCCTGAATCTTCGCATCTAACTACCAACTAACTGGGGCACGATCTCCGTAGTGCTCCCAAGACCGTCCTGCCGACTAGACCAATCAAATTCTCGGGGTTCTCCCCCAAGGGACCTGCCTGCCGAGGCACCTGCAACAACTCCGTTACACAAAAGGACGCCGATATCCACAGCCAATACCATCACAAAAATAGGTGTACCCTTTTCAGCTAGAAAGGGCCAACGAAAGAAAACTCATTGTCGTTTTCCTTTCCTTTCGGGCCTAGGATCACAGTTTAGCTGCACTGGAGAGATCTTAACGCATATTGCTCTAGAACACGACGCATGATACAAGTAGGTGCTCTCTAGATGTGGTACTGTACGTACACACCCGTATGGTGCAATCACGGACTTGGGGAATTCCAAAGAGAGGATTCTAGCTCAAGCTAAAGGGTACCCCAACGAAAACAGGGTTCGCCCCCGCGGGGGCCCTGTGATGTAAACAGCAATTAGACCGCCGGTACTCCCCCCGAACATGCCCAAATTCAAGTACATGTGTGCGTGAGCACCCACAGTCCGTATATTTAAACGTCTCCTCGGCTTTGCTAGTGCCAGGCAACCACCCAGTTGTTGAACTTTGTCCATGCCTGCAATGACGGCCAAGGCGTGTTGGTGAGGGTCGGCGAAGCACGAGGGAACAGGGCGCCGAGGAGGGTGGAGGGTTTACTCATAGATCACTGACCTCGCGCCGGGGCGGGGTAATGAAGGCACGAACGCCCGTGATAGAACGAGTCCTAGTTCTAGTTGTTGGGATAACTCAAGGGCGGCGACTAGTCTCACTTCGTGCAGTTCTCTGTGTGTACAATACAATACCGTGTCTACATTTTCTGTTCCCCGAAGCCCTTCTTCACTCAACGGGGTTCATGCAAACCAGAACGAATGAATGGGTGCACTCCCCTGGTCATTTAGATTTCTCTAGCGGCACACATGTGAACTTTGGCCGGAAGCCCGCGCACGTTGTCAGGGGCAACACACGCCGTCGGGAATCAGCATAGGCCCTATCAGGAGTGCACCCCTTACGATCGCGTGGTTCGTGAAACCGCTATCCCCCATTGGCAGGCCATGCAGTCTACAACATAAAAGTTTGTGTCGAGGGATCTGCAACCCTACCCCTATGTCTGACGTGTCCTACGGACAGTTTGTCGGCTGTACTTCTGGGACGGGTGTAGGAGCGAGGGGTGCTCGGTCCCCAAGGATACTGCTGTAAGGATGCATGTCCAACATGATGAAAATCTCCATGTACCGTGACAATGATGGCCACGATGCCGATACCATCAACGACGACGACTATGATGACAACCTAAAAACGACAATAACAACGACAGCAACAGCAGTAACGAACAACGGCAAACAACCACCATTCTCCCAAGACAATACTCACCTCCATCCCCGACGGGTCCTGCGGCTTAAAGCCGGGCACTACTTCGTCCTTGGTGGCCACGTCGAATCTCTCCACCATTTCGGCATACTTCTCGGGCATCGATTCTGCCAGGTTCTCCTGGTGGTAGCATACGGCGATCGACAACATGGACAACATTTACAGGGGTTTCCAGAGTGAGGAGGCCGTTTTCTTGTGGTCTCTTCTTTCTGTTCAAGGGAAGGGGGTCTGCCTTGACCATAAAGATATGTATGTACATGTGTTCTGGTGGTACGCACTGAGAGAGGCAGGCGCATGTTGCATTGCGAGAGGTGGAGAGCGGACGGATCTAGCACCCACCATCACCGTCCGTGTTCGGCTTTTCATCACACCGTGGCTTGTCGAACACCCCACAGGAACAGTACTGTATCGTCTTCGGGGATTCTCTCGCCGCAGTGCGCATTGCCTGTGCAGCCAGCAGCCTACAAAGACAACTTTTTTTGGAGCGGCTTGCTCTGAAACCGACGCCGGCAAAAATGAGAAGAGAAGCTACTATTTATGATAGCCATGTCATGCAGCATGCAATCGATACAAGAGAACAGGCCGTGCACACAGCTAGCTAGCTAAGCTAGCCAGCTCACGCACCGTCTCCAAAGGGTCCGTTTCGATGTGGAACAAAAAGTCGAACACTACGCCGTCGCACTGGTTGGTGCACGAGTCGCACGCGTCGTTTGAGTCGCACTCCGCCGTCTTCGGATTCGGGTAATCCCCCTTTGTGGTCTCCCAGAGGGCACAGCTGCGTTAAAGAGGACAATACCACACAACAAGCAAGGAGAGAGAGAAATTCGTTCCAGTTGAGCTTTCAGGATACAAAATTGGTATATGTCAACTCTGTTCGGAAATATACAAGCCACTCGGATACAAATGCGAACACATGACGTTCCATGGATGATGTAGTTCCAAACAATGTGGAATCAGTACGAAACCAGGCGCGCGCTCTCGGATACAAATTCGGTGTGTCACGGACAAATCGATGCCTTGACCAATGGCCTTGTTTCCTACGGGTTTGACTCCAACCCTCTGTCTAGACGCGCGAGATATACGCAGAAATTTTTCAAGTACGCGTTGTGGCTTTACGGCTATTGTACCGAATGGGCGAATTCCGGCACTCGTGCCCTGACTCTTGCCTACAGTATATCCTTATCCTACAAGGGCAACTCTCGACACAACCTACAGCGGTAGCTCGCATCGCCTTCAACACGCGAGAGCGGGCGAGAAAGCGCCCATGGTGGGGACTAGCAGCTTACACGAAGTTCCAAACACCTATAAACTGTTGTTTTTTGTGGTTGTCTTCGCAATAAAGAACGTTTCGGTCCCCTCATTTTATGTGTACAGTACTGGTGGTCAAACTCGCTCGGACGCCTTCCGTGGCCGCAGGTCAACTACTGTTATAGGATTCAGATGTGTAGACGGAACATAGAAGAGCTTGGTTCCTTCTAGAAGGCGCGGAGAGATGTAACTCTCCGCGGAAGGATAAAAAGTAGGGGACAGGATCTAGTAGCCCCTGCTTGTGCAGAGGATCCTGTGCCCCTTGGTGTCATTCCTACCGATACCCAAGGCAACAGCTACTGCTGCTGCTGTTCTACAAGAGTAACAACAAGTGAGTTCTTCTTCACGGGTCAACTAGACTTCATCACGCGTGCATACCACTACACTACCCAAAAAAGATGTACATACCGCACCTTTGTAGAATATTAAAAAGAAAAGAATTTAATAAAAAGCTATATTTTTTCTTTTTAATTGTTCTTTTTTGCTTTCTTTTGGGCGCGTACCTCATCGCCATGAAGCTGTCGCTCTTTACAAGGACCATACTCCATAGTCGACACCGACCCGTGTGTTCCCCCAGTTAGATATCCGAATAATCGAAAATCATGAAGTCCAAGAAACGTAAAATGGACCTCGAGAAAATATCCGAATTGCACACGGAAGGGTCCGTGAACAACAAAAGACAGCAGCAACAATACCGTTTCTACAGTATCTACTTCTCATCATTATTGTTACACGCGAAGTGCGTTCGTATATATTGACCTTTGTCGCAGAATCAGCTTCCAGCCGTCGTGGATGAACGCCCCCTTTGGAAGTGGCTCTTTCACCATCTCCCCGGCGTCGGAGTCGAAGTCGTAGCTGGTACGCCCCAATACCAACTCCGTGCGCACGGGTCCTTCCTCTGCAGATCTCCTGCCCACGATCGCGTCCCATTGGTCGAACCCGCTCAGCTCCTTTCCCATCTCATCCTGCCAAAGGGTGTGTAGGAAGCACATGGTCAAATCGCGCGTCCGTGGTGGCCGGGTATTATTGTACGGGTGAAATCTGTTGCTTGGCACAGATAGAGGGGTGACGTTGTTTTCGTGCTTTGAGAGTCAGGGTCAGCAAAACGATCGAAGTAGAGGGTGGGTTAGGGTTTGATAGCCTTAGACGGCAGCAGCAACATGCGACAAATCCTATTCCTTACTTACCAGCGGAAGCCCCGGCACAACGCTGCCCAATGTCGGAGTCCAGTCCATGGAGTGCATCATCCCAGAGTACCTGGTGCCCCTCGCCTGCGTTCGAACGGGAATGACGGCGAATGTGCCGGGGGGGGGGGGGGAGGGAGGGTGGTCTGCACCCCCCCCACGTTTTCTTTTGGCAGGGGCTTGGCGCTTCCAAACACTTCCTTCCCCGAAAACGGGGAACTTCTTGGGGGGGGGGGGGGGGGAAAAGCCCCCCCC